GATCTAACCTTTCTGAAGAGCAATTTAGAACTATGCCCAAAGACCCATACCCTTTGACCCAGCAATATCACCTCTAGGTCTAGATTCCAGTGAGATAAAAGGAAAAGGATCCATATGTCCAAAAATATCTATAGCAGCTCTTTTTGTGGTGGCAAGGAACTGGAAATTGAGGGAATGCCTATCAATTGAGGAGTGGCTGAACAAGTTGTGGCATATGATTGTGATGGAATACTATTGTGCTATAAGAAATAATGAGCAGGGTGATTTCTAAAAAACTGGAAAGACTTATAGGAACTGATGCAAAGTGAAGGGAGCAGAACCAGAAGAACATTGTACACAGTAACAGTAACATTGTACAATGAAGAACTCTGAATAACTTTGCTATTCTCAGTGATACAGTGATCCAAGACAATTCCAAAGGACTCATGATGCAAGATGCTATCCAGAGAAAGAGGAGTCTGAATGCAGATCAAAGCATACTATTATTCTCTTGATTTTTCGTGTTTTTTTGTCTGTGTTTTCTTTTACAGCATGACTAAAATGGAAGTATGTTTTACATGATTGTACATGGATAATCTATCTTGAATTGTTCAGTGTCTTAGGGATGGGAACGGGAGGAATGAAGGGAGAGAATTTGGAACTCAAAACTTTAAAAAATGAGTGTTAAAATGGTTTCTACATGTAACTGGGAAAAAATAAAATGTTATTCAAAGGAAAAAAGTGACTAGTGATGATGTCTCCAATGAAGTCTGAAGTGGAGAAATGCCTGTTATCTCAAAGGGAGCCCCATGTCACTTAGATGTTCCACATGGTTGAGAATTTATGAAAATTTATTGAAAAAATAAACTTTCTATGGTGGAGGGAGGTATTATTGGTACAGAGCAAATCAATGTAAAGTATACATATGTAGGCTTCCTGTAACTAAAGGAAAGATTTGATGTGGGGAGAATTGCCAATTAGGTGACAGTGGATAGAGTGTTGGGCCTTGGAGTAAGACCCGAGTTCAAATCTGGCCTCATACACTTACTAGTTATCTGACTCTGGATAAGTCACTAAACCTCTATTTGCCTCAATTTCCTCATCTATAAAATGAGGATAGGAATAGCATTTACCTCCTAGGGTTGTTGTGAGGATCAAATGAGATAATTATAAAATACTCACACAATTATAAAACACTTATAATACAACATCTGACACATATTATAAGCACTGGAATAAATGTTAGCTGTTAATAATGATGGGAGCATTTATGCAGTGATAGCTATGTTATATGTTACAGTTATATGGTATGATAGTTAGCATTTATGTAGTGCTTATCTCACAACAACCTTGGGAAGTAGGTGCTGTTATTATCTTCATTTTTGCTGATGAAGAAACTGAGTCTGATAGAGGTTAAATGATTTTCTCAGGACCACACAGCTAGAGGCCGCTAGGTGGTACAGCAGACGGAGTGCCGGGTCTGAAGTCAGGAAGACTCATCTTTAGGAGTTCAAATGTGGCTTCAGATATTTACTAGCTGTGTGATCTTGGGCAAGTCATTTAACCCTGTTTGCCTCCGTTTCTATGGGGATAATAATAGCACCTATTATCTAGGGTTGTTGTGAGGATCAAATGAGATCATATTTGTAAAATGGTCACAGTGTGTGGCACATAGTAAGCTCTATATAAATATTAGCTATTATTCTTTCACTAAGCCATACTGATTGTAGTACTTATGTGTTCATTTATGTAAAATGGTCCTGTCCATACCTATAAGGGATTACTATGTCAATTATGGAGTATTAATAGGCAAACATTTGTAAGCATCACTGGAACAGGGGAAAGAAAACTGGTTTTGTAATCAAAGGATTTGAGTTTAAATCATATCCCTGGTACTTACCACCTTTGTGACCTTGGGCAAATCACATCACCTCCCTAGGCCTCAGTTTCCTCATCTGTTAAAGGGGAGGGTGGCACTAGGAAGTGTCTGAGTTTCCTTTGAGCTTTTTATCTGTGAGCTTGCATTTGAAAGGATCATTCTGCCATAAAGAAAATGTAGGAGGAGAGCAAATAACTTCAGTCATTGCTGTTGCTTCGAGATTATAAAATCGGGGGATTACTTCATTTATTGTTGTTTAGTCATTTTCAGTCAAGTCTGACTCTTTGTGACCCTGTTCAGGGTTTTCTTGGCAAAGATACTGGAGTGGTTTCCTTCTCCAGCTCATTTTACAGATGAGGACATTGAGGCAAACAGGGTTAAGTGACTTGCCCAGGGTCACACAGCTAGTAAGTGACTGAAGTCAGATTTGAACTCCTAAAGATAAGTCTTCCCAATTCCAGGCCCTAAGCTCTATCTGCTGTACTACCTAGCTGCCCTGATTATTTCATACAGAGGATTTAATTCAAATGATCGCAGTTTGCACTAAAGCTAGAGAAATAGCATGAGATAGAACAGAAGTGAAGAACAGAGCCTAGAAGAAAAGGCACAGACAGCATCAAATTAAAACATATTAGCTTTGTAATGTTCACATTTGAAGTCATGCTTGTTGCTTAAAGAGAATGAAGGTTTCATTGTGGTGCCCCGGGATGGGAAGCTTGCTATAGAAAGGTACATAATAAAGGAAGAAAAGAAAACTTGTTGGATGACAGATGTGGGCTATGCATAGCAGCTGGCTAAATAGTTGGAGGAAATGCTCTTTTATCAGCCATGGATTGTACCATCATAATGATTGTGCTACAATCCTATGGCAACAATAGTAACATGAGATCACATCTATATAGTGCTTCCTGTATATGATCTCGTTTGAGACTCCCAGCAGCCCTGAGAGGTAGATACTACAGATATAAATAATATCATCCCCATTTTATGGATGTGGAAATGGAAGATCAGTGACATGAGTCAGTCAACTAGCATTTATTAAACACTACCATGTGCCAGGAACTGTGCTAAACACTGGGAATACATGCACAAATGGAAAGCAAGACAGTTTCTGCTCTCAATAAGCTTACATTCTAAAGGGGGTGGGAACAACATTTAAGAGGAAGCTGAAGGAGTGGGGGCAAAAGTACCCAGCGTGAGGACATGGTACAGAAAGTCCTGAGAAAACCCTGGAGAGGAATGAGCCATGGCTAGTATGGGAATTCTCCTTAAATGGAGGTTCTGGGTGAGCCATCCAATCAGACGGAGAGCCTGAAGGGAGGTAAGGGGGTTGGTTGTTGGTTGGTTTTTGTCCATTTTCAAAGAGGACCAAAATAACGTCACTCACTATGGTGGGGTCAAGGTACAATGTGTTCAAGAGGTTCAAGAGAGAAGATGCTTCCAGTATGTGCATTCCAGGACTGGAGTTAGCCTTCAGGATGAAGAGCTATGGCATGGTAGAAGGGGTCCAGAGTATAGCCTTGAGAGGAATGAGAGGCCATAGATTAAGTGACTTGTTTATTGTCACACAGTATGTATCTGGCAGGATTTGAACTCGAGTCTTCCTGAGTGCAAATCTAGCATACCATCCTTTATTAACCACTGTACCACATTAGTCAAGGGATCATAGGCTTATTAACATGATGGGATCTTGGGTGTTATCTAGTTCAATCACTTCATTTTACAGATGAGGATAGTAAGGCTCAGAGAGAATCAGTGATTTGCCCAAAGACACAAAGGTAGTTCATGTCCGTGATAGGATTCATACATAGGTCCCTTGACTCATAATGCAATTTTTCCATTGTGCCATGCTGTCTTCCAATGTGGATGAACATTTAGGAAATGATTCTGTATGTATTTGAATAGAGCCCTTAATAACAGATGAGCAGATCCTGACCAACAGACCAGACATTTTGTTTTTTAATATAATTGATAAGAAAATGTTGTTGTTATTTAGTTATATCAGTCGTGTCTGACTCTTTGTGACTCCATTTGCAGTTTTCTTGGTAAAGATATTGGAGTGGTTTGCCATTTTCCTCTCCAGCTCATTTTAAGGATGAGGAAACTGAGGTAAACAGGGTTAAGTGACTTGTTCAGGGTCACATAGCTAGTAGGTGTCTGAGGCCAGATTTGAACTCCAGAAGACGAGTCTTCTTGACTCCAGGCCTGGCATTCTATCCACTGTGCCACCTAGCTGCCTATTAAAGGCAATAAATAGAACTAACTGAGAGAGAAACATCACAAACATCTATGAAAGTGTTGATGGTGAGAATGCATATAGCCTAGGCAGAGAAACCAAAGAAAATGTTGAAACTGCTAAGTCAGCCTAGTAGCAGGGGTTCCCATATTGTAAGTAGGTTGGCAGCTTTGAAGAGCCCTGTATTGGCATCCATTCAGAAGTACTTTTAGAGGTAGGATGAATGCTGGAATTAAAGTCAGGGTTAATACAGGTTGGAATCCCACCTCTGACACTGACTAGGCAACGTGACCATGGACAAGTTGCCTACTTTCTTTGACCCTCAGTTTCTTTGGTAGAATGGAGATAATCAAAGTGTTTTTGTGTAACTCGGATGAGATTACATAGGTAAAACACCATAAGGGGAGCAATGTGGTACAGTGGAAAAAGCACTGGGTTTGGAGCCAGAGGACTTGGGTTCAAATCCTGCTGTACTGTGATCTAGGACTTCATTGGTATGAAATCATTAAAACGCTCTGAGCAAGAGCTCCCTAAAAATAATTTGCACTTGATTTTCTGACTGGAGTGTTTCCCCAGCATTCTCAAATTTTCTGGGTTGTAGGAGGATGGGAATTTCTAAATATGTGAATAGTACTGATTCAAACACCTACCATGTTTCTAAAACTGTCTTCAAAGAGGATGTGCTAGAAAGGAGTGCGTGGGATCAGACCACAATCCAGGAAGAGACATCAAAAGGGGCTGGGGTTAGTTGGTGAGCTGCCAGATGAAGACGTCAGGGGCCCGAGCAGTAGAAGCTCAGGTCCTCTTTTCTGGCTAAGACTGGCACTTGGTGGTTCCAATGGGGGTCACTGGCCATCAAGGATCAGAACATAATGAGAACTTAACACGAGATGTGGCTTGTTTCAGGCAGAGAAAAAGAAGAATTTTGTCAGGAAAAGTCTTGTCATTGGAGAAGTCCTTTCCCTAGCAGACATGGCGACAGGAGTGAAGGTAAGAGATAATGGGTCCTTAATGGAATTCCACTAGTTTTTTTTTTTAACAGTTAGAAGTCAGAAAGTAGAAGCCCCTCAGAGAAAAATGAGTTTGTTGGAACTGATTTTTAGTTAGTTTGTATACAACTGATGCCAGTCCCTCAGGATTTAGTTTGTTGTTTCACTCATTCATGTGAAAGGCAGTGTGACATGTTGGAGGAAACGCTGGACGCAGAGGCAAGAGGGCATGGGTTCAAATCTTATTGCTGACTTTCACTGGTTGAAGGATTCTAAGGGGCAGCTAGGTGGCACAGTGGGTAGAGCACCGGCCCTGAAGTCAGGAGGACCTGAGTTCAAATTTGACCTCAGACCAAACACTTGACACTTACTAGCTGTGTGACCCTGGGCAAGTCACTTAACCCCAATTGCCTAAAAAAAACCCCAAACAATAATAATGAAGGATTCTAGGCAAGTCACTTAATATATGTTTGCCTTAGGCAACTCCTTAAGACCTATTTTAGACTGATTACAAGTTGTGTTGGGACTACTGATGATGTCACAAATCTTTTGTATTCAATTATTTATTCATTCAAAAAATAGCAATAATAACAGTAATAATAACTAACCTTTATATAGTGTTTACTGTCTGCCATGTATTGTGCTGCGCAGTTTACAATTATTATCCCATTTGATCCTCACAACAACCCTGGGAAATAGGTGCTTTTGTTATTCTCATTTTGCAGATGAGGAAACTGAGGCAAACAGGGTTAAGTGATTTACCCAGGGTCATCCAGCTAATAAGTCTGAGACCTGATTTGAACTCAGGTCTACCCAATTCCAGGCCCAGCACTCTATCCACTGGACCACCCAGCTGCCCCTAATATTTATTGAGCAGCTGGTATATGCAGGGCACTGTACAGAGGAGAATAAAACATGGTACCTGCCCTCCTAAGCTTATCTGTCTAGTATAAATAACTTTCCTATATGACAGAATAAGAAAATGTTCAAACCAGGGGTCTCTAATAAGTGACCAAATGTACTTGTAGCTGCTTAGATACTTGGTCAGATTCTTAGCCCGTTGACACCATGATGGCTTTGTCTCAGTTGTTTGCCCCATGAAACCTTTTCTGATTTTGTCCTTCCATCCCTATGAGCTGTTAATGACCTTTCCCCCATCACGCTTCATAAAATATGTTGCACCTTGCTTATGCACTTATAACGTTAGGTCATATTAAATTTATCTGTTTCTTTCTCTGGATTGTACTGTAAACTCTGTGAGAACAGGGATTCTATCTTAGCTAAACTTTGTCTCTTCTCCAGTTCTATGTGCACAGTAGGTGATTCAATGCTTGTCAAATATAATTTAACTGAATCTAGACCAGTTGCTGTTTAGTCATTTTTCAGTTGTTTCTGACTCTTCATGAGCCTATTTGGGGTTTTCTTGGCAAAGTTATTGGAATGGTTTGCCATTTCCTTCTCTGGCTCATTTTTCAGATGAGGAGCTGAGGCAAACAGGGTTAAGTGACTTGCCCAGCATCGTACAGCTAGTAAGTGTCTGAGACCAGATCTGAAGCTGGATTTGAACTCAGGAAGATGAAACTTCTTCACTCCAGGTCCAGCACTGTGCTTCCTAGCTGCTCCAGTCTAGACCGGCCATCCTTAAATGGTTGGTCAATGATGCTTGTGTGACATCTGTTTACTGGATAGGGAGTTCATCATAAGATTACTACTCAGGGATATCTCATGTGGCATATTTTGTGAACTCAGAGACTTGAGAAATTAAGAAATAATTCCTCTTCCCCTAAAGGCTGGGGACCTTTGCCTTAGATCTTCAATATTGTCATGGGAACTTCTTTTACTTGCTCACTTCCTCCTTATTCCCATCTCCTATGCCCTCTTTCTATAAGTTTAGGAAGTGCAAGATTAGATTGAGATCAGGGGAAAATATATGCCTGTGGGAGCCATTGAGAGCTTTTCTCTGAGGACCCTAGCAAGATGTTTGGGTGAGTCTGATTAAAAAGCCTGATTGAGGCTTGAGTGATCCTTCTACACTCATTAAGGGCAAGTGCAGAATCAATTCAAAGGCTAACTTTAAAGAAAACCTTTGTGTCCTTCTGTATGGTCATTGGTGAGGGAATATTTTTTTTCTCTCATCAGCTCCTCCGATGGAATAGCCTCAAAAGTCATTGGACCTTAAGACTGAACTACTTGAGGGCAGGGACTGTTTTTGCCTTTCTTTGTACCCCCAGTGCTTAGCACAATGCCTGATATATAGTAGGTATTTAATAAATCTTGATTTGGCTTGGAACAAATGTTCCAAGGTACAGCTAGCCCAGTATTTGCCTGCATGAAGAGTGTCCCAAAGGGGACAGTTGTCCTTCCTCAGATCTTGGAGAAGAGAGGAGTACAAGTTCTTTGGTGGGGCTTTGGGGTGGGGCTCACCATGGAGGTGAGCAGCCTGCTTGGTGGTTGTCAGGGCGTCCCAGGTTTTCTCACAGACCTCGAACAGCTGGGTTGCATTCACCTTCTTTGCTTGATTCCTTTGCGTGAGCCTACTTGTCAGCTGAAGGAGAGCAGTGTCAGATCTAGAATCCTTCAAAGTCAGCTCCATCCTGGCAGGTCAGAATACATTTTACTTCTTCCATCAAAACTTTTATTTATCTAAAAGGCTTTGGATGTCCCTGAGAGCTTTGGATAAACACGGTTGTACTGGAGCAGCGAAATCCTGGCAGGAACTAAAGTTTGGCACTGGGGCTGATTCACAGTGGAATGGGGAGAGAAGGAAGAGGGAGATGCCAAGGAAAGGAGCTTAGTTTGCTGAGGAGTTAGAGTCCCCAGTCTAGTTTGGGAGAGGTCCCAGGGAAGGCTTCAGATCTGCCAAAAAATGGATGCAATCTGGAAACACTTTACTGTTGAAAGAAGTGTGACGTGCCTACCTCTCTTCTTCCCAATGACCTTTGAGTTTTCTTTCTCTCTCATTTAGGTGTTCTCCTTCAGGGTTAATGGATATCCTAGTGCCATTTGCCCTTCTCTCCCCAACCCCACCCCTCAGCCCCCAACTTCCAAGGAGGTAGTAGGCTCTCTTTCCCTCAGGGATGAAAGATCCCCCAAACATATCCATTTCCTCTGTAAAATGAGCAGATTCTCTGAGCTTCCTTATAGCTCTAAATGAGGCGAAATATCCTAGAATTCATTTAGGGAGCCTATTAGTCTCACCACTCTATAAATGAGGTCCCAGGGAACTGGGTCTGCATAATGTTGCTGGGGTTCCAGTAGTTCCTAAAAAAGGGAAACATAAGTGCTGAGTCATCTATGGCCTTGTCCAATGGCCCACTTCTGTCCTGTGGTCTGCCCCCTCCCTCTGCCTGTGTTGAACCTCAGCTAATATCTGGTCTCCCAGAATGGGCTCTAGTGACTCCAATAAATACCCATTCTATTGTGTTTGCTCAATTTGTTGTTATTGTTCAGCTGTGTCTGATTCTTCATGACCCCCATGGACCATAACAATCCTTCTCCAGTGGATTAAGGCAAACAGGTGTGGGGTGTCACACAGCTAAGTGTCTGAGGCTAGATCTGAACTCAAGTCTTCTTGACTCCAGGCCCAGCACTCTATCCACTGAGTCAGCTAACTGTCCCTATTCACTCAGTGTTGCTGTTGTTTAGTTGTTTCAGTCATCTCTAACTCTTCATGACCCCATTTGGGGTTTTCTTGGCAAAGATACTGGAGTGCTTTGCCATTTCCTTCTCCAGCTCATTTTTACAGATGAGGAAACTGAGGCAAACAAGGTTACATGACTTGCCCAGAGTCACACAGCTGATAAGTGTTTAAGGCTGGACTTGAACTCAGGTCTTCCTGACTCCAGGCCGAGTACTCTATCCATTGTATCACCTGGCTGCCCCATTCACTCAATTGTAAGCCCTTAATAAAAAATAAAGCTCTTGTTGATTGACTTACTGGGCCTCAGTTTCTTTCTTTGTAAAATGGGGACAAAATTACTTGTATTACATACCTCACAGAATTGTTTTGAGGAACGTACTTTGTAAGGCTTAAAGTACTATGTACCTAGTTATTTATATGCTCTCTCCTCCTTTACAACATGTGCTTCTTGAAGGCAGGGACTGGTTTTCGTTTTTGTTTTTGCCTCTTTTTTGCTTTTTTTGTATCCCTAGCATATCGTAAGCAATAAATATTTGTTGACTGACTGAATGACTCTCATGGTCTGTGGAGGCTCCCTCAGACTTGTAGTTATCACCAAGGCCACCTTACAGAGCAGGGGTCATCCAGTCACAGCTGCAGCCCCTTCTGTAGACAGTGAAGTGAAGACAGAACAGTGAAAAGGAGGTTTCCCAAACAGTCACCACACATTTAAGGGGAAGTCATCTCTGCTTAAGCATTTACTTTTTCCATTTCTCCATCCGCCATCACACCTGGATACCATTTGCTGTCCTTATTCACTGATGCACATCAGATAAAGAGAATGATGCTGGATTTTCACCTACAAAGATGATGCTACTGATACACCATCAGTGGGGCCTTATGCCCAATTTGTCTCCAGTAGCAGGAGTGCATTTATGCAGATCCATTCTCTTCCCTTTGATATGAATAGCATGCATTTGTGAGATACTCAATCAGGGATAGCTAGAGGTGCAGTTCATGCCCAAAGTCAACTGGCCTTTGTCATACCCGTGATCTCTTTAGCACCAATGTTTCAATTGACCTTTTGACCCATGGAGAAAAGGCTTAACCAGCAGTTATATTGGTACTAGTTAAAAAATAGAGATGCCCACTGGTGGAACAATAGGCACATAACGTACAGGAGCAAACTAACACGGCAAGATGGTGTTTGATAAATCCCAAGCCTCAGCTACTATGATAAGGTCTTGTTGCTTGTCAGAGAGTTCAGGGAAAACCAGATATAGCATCACTAAGACATGGGGTTAGCCTCTGGACGTGATCAGGAAAGCTTCCTTTTGACTCCGCAGATTTTTCTTTGTGCCACTGAATATGGATACTTCTCTGTACATTCTAGAAAGAGAAAGAATTCTGAGATAGAATCTGAATCATACCCTGACACCAACATCATCCTAAGTAGAAATAACATTAACCTGGTAGTTGTCTTATTTCAGTAGACTTTGGGGAATGCACCTGCAGTCCTTAAGTTTTTTCTATCTTCCATTGTCTTGGTGGCCACGCTGGAAATTGAGCGTGGTGGGGAAGGAAGTAAAAATCAGAGGCACTGGGATAGAAGGCTTCTTGGCCACTTTGCCCCGGAGGCATGAGAAGAGGTTTTCTGGGTCCTTTAGGACAGCAGTTCTCAAAGTGTGGTCGGTGGACTCACGAAGGACCCTGAGACCCTTTCGAGGGGTCTCTGAGGTCAAAACTTGTCATAGTAATAAGTGTTGAATCCATCACTAACATTTATTAAGCTCTTACGATGTGCCAGGCACTGTGCTAAACAGTGGGAATACAAAAAAGAAGGCAAAAGACAGTCCTTGCTGTCAAGGAGGGGAAACAACCATGTACAAACAAGCGAAATACAGGATGAGTTTGGAATAATCATCAAAGAGAATACTAAAATGAGTTTGGAATAATCATCAAAGAGAATATTAAAATGAAGGGGCATCAGGAAATGCTTTCTGTGGAAGTTGGGATTTTAGGTACGACTTGAAGGAAACCAGGGAAGCCAGAAGATGGAGATGAAGAGGGAGAACATTCTAGACATGGGAGACAGCCCGTGAAAGTGCTCATAGTTGGAAGATGGAGTTGCTTGTTTGAGAAATATTAAAGAGATCAAGAGAAGGTGTGTGACTCAACATCTTCCTATTGACAAAGCAACTCAAGGCTGGTGCCCTACTGCCTGTGGGTCTTCTTATGTGAAGCGCAGAATTGAGAATAATGAAAAAAATGAGCATGTAAAATGTGTGGCTCAAAGTTAAAAAATGCTCATAATTTATTCATCCTGTGTTTAAAAAATCTATCCAATTATCTTATGATTTTCAGAGAAAAGATCTCAGTGGCTTCTATGCTTCACAGCTCTGGAAAAGATGGGCAAAGGTGAATATATGTGTATGTTTCCCTCCTCTTAGGTAATATCTACATGACTCTAGAACCACTGGTTGATTGGTCATTTTGACCAAACCATCCCCATTGCCGGGAAAGGCTGTTTGGCATTCTGATGCTGAAAAAATGCTTGAATTGTTTTCACTCTTCAGTGGCCAGGCTGGTATCTGCAGTCACAGCTTTTGTTTGTTCCCTTTAAGGCTCAAAGCTCAGTTTTTGCATTAGTATCAAGTCATGTTCCTCTGACTCATTTAGCAGTGTGTCCTTCTATTGGTTGGACTGGAGTTAGTGGTATTGTGCTGGCAGCAGTTAGTGAATGGAATCTACAAATATGTATGTTAAAAGCCTGTTTTATAAGCTTATAGCAGCCAGAGCTGTAATGGACCTTTTGATGACATCTAGTCTAACTCTTCATCTTACATATGGAAAAAGTGAGACTCAGGCAAGTAAATATGGCTTGCCCAACATCCAAAGCTATATCTAGGAGTCTCTGCATCCAAGGCAAATGTTATCAGTTTGGGCCTCATACGAATGTGGCGCCATGGATAGAGTGCAAGGTCTGGAGTCAGAAAGACTCCGTTTTGTGAGTTCAAACCTGGTCTCACACACTTACTGGCTGTGTGACCTGGGCAAGTCACTTAACCCTATTTGCCTTAGTTTCTTTATCTGTAAAATGAGCTAGAAAAGGAAATGGAAAACTATTCCAGTATCTTTACCAAGAAAACACCAAATGGGATCGTGAAGAGTTAGACACGACTGAACAACATGACAACATGAATGGAGGGATGGCAGAAACCTTTGGATGTCCATTGGAGGCCACTGCCAGGAAGGCTGCCATAGGAGAGGAACTTCTCCCATCTTTTATCTTTTTATTGAACTAATTATTCTTGTTAACTAAGTGTTAAGTTCTGTTGTCTCAACATGGCTAGAGAACTGCAAGTGCTGTCAGTGCCCCCAAACTTGGACACCGTCTAAAGCTGTTGTCCTGTGACAAACCCCACATGTCTCCTGCTTAGGTGTGGCTCTGTCAAGATCACTAAGCTAGTAACTCTGAGTAGAGATTTAAACCTAGGTCTTTTGATCACTTCTCTTCCTACTATACTGTGTTGTCTCTTCTTTTCTACTCTTCAAAGGGAAAGAAAAAAGAATTAAAGAAGAAAGAGTACTGACCTGAAAAGATAGTATGTACATCCAGATTAAATGGTTCAGGAGTAGAACATTAAACCTGCTCTAGTTAAGCAAGAGTAGATACTGTAAATCAGTCTTTAAAAAAGATAAATGAGAAGTTTATGATTTAAGAAAAACAAACAATTGTCCATTTGGACTGAATCCTTCTTTCCAATTTGGAGCTCATAACACTATTTATGATAATCCAAAATAATTATATTGTAGATATAATCTAGTGATTAGAACATTAGATGTCTTCCAATAATGCATTAAGGTCATTTGAATAAAATTCTCATTGTACTTCAGAAGTTAGTTGTTAAAAAAAAAAAAAAAGATAGTAAAGGCACAATAGAGGCGTAGGTAGGTGTTACAGTGGATAGAGTGCTGGACCTGGAGTCAGGAGGACTTCCTGAATTCAGATCTGACCTCAAACACTTACTAGCTGTGTGACCCTGGGCAAGTCACTTAATCCTGTTTGCCTCAGTTTCCTCATCTGTCAAATGAATTGGAGAAAGAAATGGCAAGGCACTCCAGTATCTTTGCCAGGAAAACCCCAAATGGGGTCACAAAGAGTTGGACGTGACTGAAGCAATTAAACAACAATAAAAAGACGTGGTATATTTTTAACTGGAGGATCTGCCAGAAGAATGTAAACAGCTCTTTTGTTCTTAATATTACTTTGATTTCAAAATCTATAAATGAATCAGTGATCTATAAAACATGATGACTTTCCCCAACAGGCACAGGCGTCCTTCTCTAGGCTAGGGTCTCCCCAGCCTTGCCCTCATGTGTTCATTCTCATTTCTAGGCCTTTGTTCGTACTGTGTCCTTAACTCTCTCTTCCCTCCTCTCTGCTTCTCTCTCTTCTATTTATCTAATCAACCCAGAAGCTCTCGGAGGCCTTCTTCAGCTCCTGTGGCCCACATGGATTTCACCCTGTCCTGGCCTGCCCTGTTCCTTGTTAACTATATCATCCACTGATACACTTGCTCATATATTACTGTGTATAGTTAGTTCCCTGTTTGTTTTATATAATTCTTGTTTCTTCAATGATATTTTAAACCCTTTAAAGGTAGAGATAGATTGAGCAATTTTTGTGCCCAAGGCAAGGGGCATGAAACACATCTTCCTATCAACTTTTAAAAACAAACTCATTTAGGATGGTGGTGAACCCCCGTGGATAGAAACCCCCAAATATCATAATGTACCTGGTGGGAAATATGTGGGTAGAGAGGAGCTGATTATCTATTAGTAGATCTATTGGCAAGAATAACTGCTTTATCTATCTATCATCTATCTGTCTATCTGTCTGTCTATCATCTATCTGTCTATCTATTCAATCAGTCATCCACCCACCCATCCATTCATTTACTTATTCATCGATCTATCATTTGTCTATTTATTTATTCAATGAGTCATCCACCCATCCATCCATCCATTCATTCATTCATTTACTTACTTATTCAGCTATCTATGTATCTTTCTATCTCCCAACTGAGTAACTAAGTCTGGTTACTTCTGTGCTCCTGAAGGAATATGAGTCCCATTGGCTTCCTCTAAATTTTGGTGCCCTGGGAAAAGCTCTAGTCACCCTACTCTATGTATGTCTCTGTTCGAAACTTCTTTTCTATCCTCCATAGGTTTCAGGTACTGCTTTTTCCCAGTAGATACCTACTGAAGGAAGCTGAACTGATAACTTGAAGTTGTTAAATATTGCTAATGGTATTTTCTTGACTTTTTTTTTCAGTGTGGCATAATTTACTGGTTATTTGGTGGGGCTGTCAGGAATCTTGGGAGCCCAGGACATGTTGCTAAGTGGTTCCAGCCACTCCAGGTATGGTATGGGATCCTTAGCTATTTTGTTGCATTGCATTAAATTTTTTTAAAAAATTTTTCATTTCATGGCACTATGAGAGGCTAGCCCTGAGGTGTCTGCAGGAAGCCCTGCAGATATCTCTGTGTGGTAAGCCTCCAGAGTCCCTAGAAGGCAGACTTTTTTCCTGGGTCTGTAAATAAGGTTTTTGGAGCACAGAAAAAATAAGATACTTGTCCAGCTTTATACAGTATTTCAGGATCAGAACTCAGGGCCTGAAAGAGTCTTCTTTCTTTGCCTTGAGTAATGCTAACTCTCTAGTTTATGTTAGCTCTCCCTTGGTTAACTTAAAAAAAATATAGAAAACTGGTATCCCCTGATTTAATCAACTTTACTGGATTTTTAAATACTGCAAACCTACAGCAGTGAATACTAAGATGGAGTAAAATTCTCAATGATAAGTGGTACAGTGGAAAGACCACTGGATCTGGGGCCAAAGAACCTGAATTCAAGCCCCACCTCTCTATGTGACCTGGGGCAGGTCACTTAAGAATTCCCGGGGCCTCAGTTTCCTCATCTGTAAAAATAAAAACCATGACCTCCAATATCCCTTCTATATCTAAATCTAGGATTCTGTGATGTGAATACATTTTCTTTTTGATAAAACACAGGAGCAGAAATACACAGGGATGTTTGCGATGACCGAGCGGGGTCACGGTAGCAATGTGAGGGGCATACAGACAGAAGCGACTTTTGATCTCACTGCTCAGGTAATAATTCTGTGGCTTTGTTTAGTAATGATATAAAATCCCATCAGTCTGGTTAGGAACCAAAAAAAGAGGCTCTGTGTATGTGTGTGTGTGTGTGTGTGTGTTTTCATGTTCTGTGGCTTTAGATTAACTCCAGGTTCACCTGTCACACTAGCATATGCAGATTGGGATGTGTGATTGGTATGTGTAATGACTGGTGCCTTCCCTAAGGCATTTCACTGTCTTCTGCAGCAGGAGGGGGTTCCTATTCAGGAAGAAAAGAAACTGTAAGCGGTATAATGTATTTGGCCAGGTTCTCCTCCCTGGAGTTACTAAGCAATTAACTCACCTGTCAAGAAGAAATCTCCCGGGTTTTATTCTGCAAAGGTAAACATAGAAGCAAAAATCACAGAGGCTGGGAGGACCATTAGAGGTCACCATCCAGGATTGGTCAAAGGAAATAAGGATGTTTAACTTGGAGAAGGGGAAACGAAGGGGACATGATAGCCATCTTCAAGTTTTTGGAGGATTGTCCCGTGGAAGAGGGATTATAGTTGTTCTGCTTGGCCTCAGAGAGCAAGTCTAGGAATAATGGATGGTACTTGATGAAAGACAGATTTAAGCTTGATCTAAGGACAAATCTCCACTTTCATGCAGCTTTAATTGTTGGGAATGTGCTGCCTTGGGAGGTTAGTGGGTTTCCTCTTAGAAACCTTCAAGTGAAGGCCAAATGAACACTTATTGGGTATGTTGTAAAGGAGGTTATCAGGGAGACATGGCTTGGATTGCATGGCTTCTGAGGCCTCTTCCTATTCTGAGGTTCTTTAATTATCTCATCTATTATTCTCTCCTCTCCTCCCTCATTTTATAGGCATAGAAACTGAAGCCCAATGAAGGGAAATGACTCATTCAAGGTCACTCAGCTAATTAGTGACAGAGTTCAGATTAAAGTCTGTTTTCTCTTTAATAAAATGTGGACATTGGACTAGATGATCTCTGAGATTCCCTTCCAGGTGTAAACTTCATCATACAATGCCTTCCCATTCCACTTCAATTTTTCCGTTGCACCATAATTCTCTTTGGGCAGGCCAGAGAAATCTCTGAGTTCTGGGCATATGTTAGGTCAACATTCAGCCAAACATCATAGTATATATATATATCCTTTAGTTCCTTTTTTTTTTTAGCCAACGGACAAGGATTGCCTAACTTTTCCCGCCATCTTTCTTTCCCTACTATTGCTGTATAAAGGAGGTAAATGGATTTATTTTGTATACCTTTAGAAGCTATCAAATGATTTTAAGAGGGAAAAAAATATAAAGTCAAACAACAAAGAACAGATATATTTTAAGGTGCTTTTAAAAAATTATTGAGTGGGAATGCCTCTGTGTGTGTATGTACATGTGTGTATATATGTATGTACATACAAGTGTGCTGGATTTCAAATTGCTTAGTTTAGCTTTCTTTTGGAAATCTGAATTAGTATGACAAGGCTTTTCCAATTTGAGAAGGCCATGTTGAAGCAACTTAATTTTGAGTGACTCTTTTTTCCTGCTGGGCCTAGCTGGGTAGAGATTGAATCAGGGGTGAGTACTGGGTCATAAGCACATTGTGGCATTTGTGAGGCATTGATCTATTTGGGAAATCCCTGGCCCCAGTTGGAAGTTCTCTCTTCCTAATGTAATAAGCATTTATGGAGCACCTACACTGTGTTACCACTGCAGATACAAAGGCAAAATTTAGTTCCCACATTGACAAAATCACAAGATCTAGATGGGTTGACATCAGTAATGAACTCTTTGATCAGAAAATGTTAATAGAATCTTGAACTTTAAGGGGCCTCAGATACCATCTAGTTCATCACTCTCATTTTATAGTTGAGGAAACTGAGGGCCCCAGAGGATAAATGGCTTGCCCAAGGTCAGCTAGATAGCATGCATCATTGGGGTCAGGATTTGAACCCAGGTCTCCTGACTCCAGAGTGCATGCTTTTTTTTTTTTAATATCATTGTACTTCCTTTCCAAGCCCCTTATTTTACAGATGAGGAAATTAGGTAGTGCTCAGAAGTGACCTCTTTTTTTATTAATTTATTTTGATTTATCAATAATCATTTCCATATGCTTTTGAGTTTAAAATTTTTCTCCTCCTTCCTCCCCACTACCCTCCCCAAGACAGTGCATAATCTGATATAGGCTATACATTTACATTCATATTAAACATGTTTCCACATTAGTGATGTTGTAAGTAAAAATTAAAACCAATAGGAGGAACCATCAGAAAGAGGAAACAAAACTCAACAGAAGAGAAGAAAAAAATAGCAATTCAACTTCCATAGTTCTTTCTTTGGATGTGGTTAGCATTTTCCATCACAAGGCCTCTGGAAATGTCTTAGATCCTTGTATTGCCAGGAAGGGTTAAGTTTATCAATATTAGTCATCACACAACGTGGCTGTTACCGTGTACAACTTCACTCAGCATCAGACCATACAAGTCTTTCCAGGTTTTTCTAAAGTCAGCCTGTTCATCATTTCCTATAGCATAATAGTATTCCATCACATTCACATACCACAACTTGCTCAGCATTCCCCAATTGATGGGCATCCTCTCAATTTCCAGTTCTTTGCCACCACAAAAAGAGCTGCTATGAATATTTTTGTACATGTGGGTCCTTTTCCCATTTGTATGATCTCTTTGGGATATAGCCCTAGAAGTGCTATTGTTGGGTCAAAGGGTATGCACATTTTTATAGCCCTTTGGGTGTAGTTCCAAATTGTTCTCCAAAATGGTCGGATCATTTCACAACTCCAACAATGTGTTAGTGTTCCAGTTTTCCCAATCTTCTCCAACATTTACCATTTTCCTGTTTTGTCATGTTGGCCAATCTGATAGGTGTGATATGGTACCTCAGAGTTGTTTTGATTTGCATTTCTCTAATCAATAGTGATTTAGAGCATTTTTTCATATGACTATCGATGGCTTTAATTTCTTTATCTGAGAACTGTCTGTTCATATGCTTTGACCATTTATCAATTGGAGAATGGCTTGTATTCTTATAAATTTGACTTAATTCTCTATATATTTTAGAAATGAGGTCCTTATCAGAGAGACTGGTTGTAAAACTTCTTTCCCAATTTTCTACCTTCCTTCTAATCTTAGTTGCATTGGCTTTGTTTGTACAAAAACTTTTCAATTTAATGTAATCAAAATTATCCATTTTGCTTTTCATAATGTTCCCTATCTGCTGTTTGGTCATGAATTCTTCTGTTCTCTATAGACAGAAGTGACCTCTTACAGAATGACTCTGGGCTAGAGAGGTTCACTTGGCTTGGTCTTAGATTGGAATTTTTTGTTGTTGTCTAGTCATTTTTTCAGTTGTGTCTGACTTCATTTGGTGTTTTCTTGGCAAAGATCCTGGAATGATTTGCCATTTCCTTCTCCAGCTCATTTTATAGTTGAAGAAATTGAGGCAAACAGGGTTAAGTGACTTGCCCAAGGTCACATAGCTAGTAAGTGTCTGGGGCCAGATTTGAACTCAAGAAGAGAAATCTTCCTGACTCCAGGCCTGGCACTCTACCAACTGTGCCACCTAGCTTCCTGGTTTGGAATTAGGGAACTACTGAATAAGGGGGCCTTACAATCTGTTCATTCTGATTGGAGTCCATGCTAGACTTGTAAGGCATCCTTCTTTTTTAAAAATATATTTTTATTTATTTCATTAAATATTTCCCAATTACATGTAAAAAAATTTTTAACATTCATTTTTAAAACTTTTGAGTTCCAAATTCTCTCCCTCTCTCCTGCCCCTCCTCCACCTCTTGAGAAGGCAAGCAATCTGATACCAATTATACGTGAGAAGTCATACCCAAAACATATTTCCATATTAGCTATGTTGAAAAAGAAAACACACACACAAACCCCAAGAAAGATGAAGAAAGTAAAAAAGGTATTCTTCGATATGCACCCAAAGTTCATCAATTTTCTCTCTGGAGGCAGATAACATTTTTCAACATAAGTCTTTCAGAATTGTCTTGGATTACTGTATTGCTCAGAATAGCTAAGTCATTTACAGCTGATCCTTTTACAATATTGTTGTCACTGTGTACAGTGTTCTCCTGGTTCTGTTTACTTCACTTTGCATCAGTCCATATAATTCTTCCCTGTTTTTTCTGAAACCACTGCCCTCGTCATTTCTTATAGCACAATATTATTCCATCACAATCATATACCACAACTTGTTCAGCCATTCCCCAATTGATGAAGTTGCCCTTCCTGTAAGTAGATTCACTGTAGGTTAGCTGATGTATATACTATCTTTTTATAGGGAAGAGAGAAAGGAAAGAGGAAAAAAAGGACTAAAGATAGATTCATGATATAGAGAAATAAACACTGAACCTGGAGCTAGAAGAACTAGGGCTAAGTCCTGGCTATGCCACTTCCCAGCTAGAAGACATTGGGAAAATCACTTGTCTTTCTTAGACCTCAGTTTTCTCATCTGTAATATGGGAGAGTTGGACTAGCTGATTTCTGAGATTCCTTTCAACTTTAATAGACCATGATTCTAGAGCCTGAAATATGATATAAACCTTCCCTGGGTGGGTACATCATAAACATTATAATTATTATGTTGGCATTCGATGTTTTTCAGTTGGATATTTCATTGGAGTTCACCCCAAGACCCAAATAACCACAGTCATGAGCAAGGGGTATCAGAGACAGATCTTTTCTCCATAAGCATCCCATGGCCTCCTCTCTATAGCACTGATAGAAGGAGAAACAAGGGAATAAGCATTTAAATAGCACCTACCATATGCCTTTACAAATATTATCTTGTTTGATCCTCATAATGACCCTGTGAGGAGGTAGTTTAATTATCATCCCCATTTTACAGCTGAGAGAACTGAGGCAGAGAGGTGTTAAGTGACTTGCCCAAGGCCACACAGTTATTGAGTGTCTGAGCTAGCACTACACTACCTAGCTGTGACAAGTGGCTTCTGAGTGTAGGGAGGCCATACTCTCTTATTTC